AATATTTATATGCGATTAAAAATGCGATTAATTGCGATTAATTAATTACAAAGCCTGTAATTAATTAGATTAATTTTTTTAATCGAGTCCCGGCCCTAATTTCTATATATATATATATATTTCTATGTGTATATATATATATATATTTCTATATATCTATATATATATATATATATATTTCTATTAATCATTTTCGGCCTTTCGGCATTCGGTTTTCGGCCAACTGTTTCCTATTTTCGGTATCGGTTTCGGCCAAGAATTTCCCATTCGGTGCACCCCTAATTATTACCATTTGATTTGATATCCCCCTGCTCCTAATGTATTCTTTATATGAGGCATCCCCCCTTGGGCTTTAACAGTGATGCCTAGATTCAACACAATGGGTATAACAGTGTTTTCTTTTATGTATATATATTTATTTTCTTTGTCTTGAGAAAACCATGAGAAAAACTATTGCCAGTATTTTTTTATTTCTTTCTCAATTAGTTTTTATTTTGAATGTTTTGTATCTGCGTATTGTTTTTCTGTTCACCTTTTGAAGTTTAGGAGACAGGTTGAAGGGAAAAGACAAAGCGAAAAGCCTGCTGCATTACCTTGTCATATCTGCTACTGGAGCCGAAGCCAAAGATGAGCAGGTGTCCGTGGGAGTCTGTGGCTGCGAAATGTTGCCCATCTGGACTACATTTGCAGTCAAACAGCGCTCCGTGCCCTTGGCCCTCGATCTACACACAGAGGGGGGGAGAGATAGGGAAATGGAGGCACACGGTAAATCATAGTAGGATTTTCAAGGGGAATTCCAAGCAACCTTAACAATGGTAAAAACTGGACACATTTGACTCAACATGTCAGTAATGTCAAAGCAAAACCTGCAGAAACTGAAACTTCCTCAACATAAAAGAAAACTGGGGCCTTTAGTTTGTGCCGTAGGTACTTCTTCACTCTTATAAAAGCTTCATTCAATCACAGAAAGAGATCGTTTTATAAGAATGAGCATCTTTTTCCCCTTTTCAATCAAAAAAGGAAGTACTGATCTGAAACAACTTGTAATAGTTTTGCTAAGTCAGAATGAGCAGTGAGAGTTGGTTTCAACACATCGTCATGTTCGTTACATGATGCAGTGAGAAGATTACGTCCCATGTAAAAGTAACAGGCAACTCGGCTTGAACTGGCTTTAATGCTCGGCTCCATTTACCAGTTTTCGCCCAAATATCATATTGAGTGTTGTGTGTACTGTGTAGGTTTTAAATGTTAAAATCAAATAAAAAATACTTTCATTAATGGTCAAAGTCCATATTTTTTTAAATGGATGAATTCTCCTTGCATACTTTATTTACTCTTTGGGCACATGGGACTACTTTCTTTTCCTTTAGCGGCCAAAGACAAAATATAGTACGACAAGAACAGAGGTGGGAAGTAACATAGTACATTTACTCTAGAACTGTACAATTTCGAGGTACTTGTAGTTTACTTGAGTATGTCCATGTTATGCTACTTTGTACTTCTACTTCACTACAATTCAGAGGTACATGGCGTACTTTTACTCCACTACATGTATTTAATACCTTTAGTTACTTTACAGATGTGGATTAATGATGAAATATAATCAAATCTTAAATCAGACTTTAGTTCCACCTGGAGTAAATCCACAAGCTACCCTGCAGTATACAAAGTCATTCAAACTAGCTGCACCTTTACCAGCTTTGAGAACACTTTCATGATCAATCATTATAAGAATAATTCTTCTTTAACTTAGGTACAATAACTGAGTACTTCTCCCGCGTCTGGATAAGAAAGAGTATTACCCATTTTGAACATTTCTGGAAAGATGTGCTTAGCAAACACTTCAACAGTAGGGAAATTAGATATTTGACTTGCAAGAAGACTTTGTTACTTTTAAGAGAAAAAGAGCACATTCTTCCTCATGTAAATGGAAACTAATTAAAGTCAATTAAATAAACTCAACGGACTTTGTGCTGTATCTCATGGTGGCTAATGTTAGAGTCGGATTCTTATGATTCCTTTCTACCTGTGCTGCTCATACAATACTGTATATTAACACTACATGTACTGATATTTAGCTTTCACCCTAATCCTATAATAGTCCCTTATGTCCTCAACAGGGGCCGCTATATAGCAAACGTTTCATTATTAGTTTCAGATTTAAATGTGTGCCATTTCCCATCACACTTTGTGTCATCAAACAACACAATCCACTATGATCAACACCAAGATTTGGCCGACTAAACAGCACAAAGAGTGAGTCACTTGTTCCCAGACTGTGATTAATACCTCACTTGGTAACCATAGATACACAGGAAATACAGCAGTGTCTGCAATGATTAAACCCCTAGGTGAATATGTACACTGTGCTTTAGTGTGGTGTCAAGATGTAGCTCTACCCTGCACTCATGCCACACACAGTGTATTCAATGGAAGAGGAAATGCCAGCGTGGAAGTGAGAGAGGTACGAAAGCTAAGAGAAGAGAAAGTGAAAGCAATGATGGAGGGGGCAAACAGTGAGAGGGAAATAATGAGAGAAAGACTGACACTGAGAAAGGAAAGGAAAACAAATGTGTTGTGGGAAAAGGAGGTAAAGACTTATTTTGAAAGCTTATCCGTTTATGTTTTTGCTGACTGCATTAGAAAACCTCTGCTTCACATGTGAGGAGGACCAAATCAGGATGTAGTGACTTTAGTGTGAATTCAGTCAGAGATAACGCAGAGAGTGAGAGGCAATGAGACACACAGGGTGGCCGAGGGTCTCACCATGTTGAAGTAAGAGCGGATCTTCACTCCTCTGGCCAGGTCCCACACAATGCAGTTCCCATCATGCCCCGCTGAGAACAGGATCCTGGGATCAAAGGGGTGTGGCTCCAGGACAAACACCTCATCCTCATGACCCTGTCATTAAAAAACATCTTGATTAAGAGTCACAAATAGCCTCAGTGTTTTTTTCTCAAATCTTGTGGTTATTTTTACCTATTTATAAATCAGGCATCCTTAATGTCTCTTAAAGCACATTACTGTTTTTGCTATTCATATTCTGTTTTCAGTAGTGACCCCATTTCTTTTTTTATGTCTGGTTTTAAACACATTGCGATAGATGATGTGTCTGAAGTAAGAAAAAGTAAAGTATAAGTTACCCTGACAAAGAACCATTACAATTACATTTGTCATTTCTATTCAAACTTATAGATTTTAGAATTCTCTATAAAAAGATTTAAAGGCCGAGGGTGATATAATATATATTTGTTCAGTTCAAGAAAATCTATGAACAAAGATTTACGAGACAATATTTTCCTAATTCATGTTGAATTCATCTTTAACGCTTTTAAATAAGGCCTTATTTTCAATGTTAATGTAATTATTGGTTGGTAAGGAACTCATATTTCCCATCTATTTCTATTGCTTATGTTCTGAATAAGGTGAAAGCAAAATGAGAGGAACAAATACACACAAAAATGTAAATGCTGTATTACTTTTGTATTGCATTGTTCTATATGTCACATGCTCTGTGTTGGCATGTGCATGTGTTGAATCAGCACATACCATGAGTACGTGCACGAGGCTCCCGGTGGTGGAGTTCCACACCTTCAGTGTCAGGTTGTTAGCTGCTGTGATCACGGTGCCGTCATGGCGATCCCATGCTACCATGGTAACCTTCAGCTTTGTCACTTTGTCTTCCAGCGGAGGAGGGTTGTACTTCCTGAAGAGAGGATGTGATACACGGATGTCATGTTTGAGACAAAAGTGTTTTACTTTATAACTAAAATAAATACATAAAAGGTGCAACATATTTTGAAATGGTTGAAATGTTATAAAAGTCAACAGACAATTCCTCAACAGTCCATTCCTGCTAATAAAGTCATATTTTATCTTCAGTCCATTTTACTAAATTAATGTTTACGCTCCTTGTTCACAACATGTGCTGTTTCTGTTTGAATAGCGCATCAAGAACATTATAACATTTATTTGTAACCTAAATATTTAAGTCAATTCAACTCTCTCCCAGTGTGTTTTTCTTTTCATGATATCCAAGCCTCAATGCCATTATTATAAACAATTACATTTTTTTTTTAAGATAACCAGGTTATCTCTGAATCTGCAATTATTGCTGTTTGTTGTGTTAATTCAGACTCTAAGTACTTAAATAGCTCATCAGTGTCACCTCCAATAATTCACTTATGCGTGCTATAAATCAATATTCTGCCTGGGAGCAGTAATCAATCACTTTGACACATTAATGCAACAGGTGTGAAAGTGTTCTTTTTTCAACTTCATTATTTATACCATATAGATTGTGTTAAAAAAATATTGCAAGAAAAGCATTTTGCAGCTGGTAAAAAGGACAATAAATAAATGTTTTAACTTCCTAATGGTGCATAGTCTACAATGGGAGTATGTCTGGGACTTGAGTATACAGCATGATTAATTTTTGTCAAATTTAGAGTGACATCCCAACCCACGACTGAGCTGTGAGTACAGCAGTGCTGGTAAAAAAGAAGAAGAAAAAAAGCCAGACTTTGACAGCCGAGCACACACAATCATACCCGGGTAATTTGGTCTGCATGTCCAGCAGAATGCTCCTCCACCCCTGAGGATGCAGCTGCCAGATCCGCGCTGTACCGTCCCTGCTGCCGCTCACAAACCTAACACACACACACACACACACACACACACATTAGTAAACAGATTCATGAACTGTAAATAAAACACTTCTATAGAAGCGCTTTGCAACACAATAAGCACTTTTATCTATCTGCATGTACTAATTGTTCCCCCCCCCCCTTTCTTCTACATCTCCTCCACCCCTCCTTCTCTGCTTAGACACTCCTTCGCTGCTGAGATTACAGCAACCCAGGGGAATTAGCTGAGCTTGTTTTTCACTCCACACAGGCACAGGCAATTTAACACGCATGATATGTGCAAGTGTATGTGTGTGTGTGTGTGTGTGTGTGTGTGTGTGTGTGTGTGTGTGTGTGTGTGTTTGTGTTTGTGTTTGTGTTTGTGTCTGTGTTTGAGAGAGAGAGTGTGTGTGTGTGTTTGTGTGTGTCTGTGTTTGAGAGAGAGAGAGAGTGTGTGTGTGTGTGGGGGGGAAGTGTAATAAAGTGTGTATCAGAGAGTAAGTAAAGGTGGTGTTTCTGCTGACGGCATCATTCACATAACAACACCCCCAGGTTCCATATCCACAAACAGCGGAGCTCACACAAAAATTGACTTCACTTATTATGTGGCTAATACACACACACAGTTTGAACCTACCTGTCACTGCAATGTGAGAACTGGATGCTGTCGACTTTGTCCTGGGTAAGGAAAATATAGGAGTCAAAACAACGCAATAAGCAACAAGCATTACCTCTGCTAGGTTTGCAAATCATGACAACTTCTTTGTGTATTACTAGCTATATCATAGACATCAATACTAAAGTAAAACTATTGGTGCTAAGATTGATTTTAATAAAAGAACGTTTTTAAATAGAGAATATAACTAAATATTCCTATGCCTTTGCAATACGTTTGGTGGTCCTTTCCATCCCTATGTACAGTATAACCTAATGGATCATTTCTTTCATTCAAAGATTTTCTTTAACTCAAAAGTCATCTTACTAGCTCTCTCCAGAGCTTTCAACTGCATCTTACCATCTTCTTCAGTTGATGGAGTTTGCTTAGTTGTCATGGAGAATGATGAAACACAAAGACAACTGAGGAAACTCCATCTGCTGAAGAAGTCCATGAAATACAGCTGGGATAAAAGCAAGTAAGTGGGCCTTGAGTTATTTATATTATAACTACTATTCCCAAGTTGTACTATAACCATGTTAATTGTCAATATCTAAGCACTGTACTGTACTGTGACATACTGTATAGTTAATAAAACACAATTTAAATCAATAAAAAGCATTATGTTGACTTACAGTATGGGACTCAAGTTCAGAGATCTTCTCTGGTTGGCCTAAGCCAAAGTAGTACACTCTGATGATGTGATCCGTGCTCCCTGTGGCCAGGAACATACCACCTGCACAAAAAACACAACGGGTCAGAATGAACAACACTCGATACCCGATACTTCCATTAAAAAAATTATAATATACACTTCAAAGATCAAGCTATGGTGAAACAAATGCTTCTTCTTGTATTAGTGAGGGCAAACTTTGTGCAAAAAGAAACGTTGAAGTCATTCATCATTCATGGTCAATTTAACCTCAATAAGCAGAGTCATTCCACATTTATGGAAAAGCAGAAGGCCCGTTTGTGTGTGGCTGTGTTGCTCTTCAGTTATTCTGCACATTTCTTCAGCTGCTGTTTGCCTTTAGGTGGTCTCAAAGCATGCATGAAAATCAAAAGTGGTTTCCGCCCACCTGCACTGAATGAGGAGCAGATCATCTGGACGCCAGGCCTGGAACGCTCCGTGAATTTACTGGGCCTCTGACTGCACACACACACACAAGCAGATACAAAATGAAACGGACGGAAATGGAATGATATGAAAAGAGTTTGTATGTTTTTAGAAGAACATGTTTTACAGGAGGGTATGTCAGCAGATGTTCGCTCCCTTCTTATGTTGTCTTGTACATAACTATATTTAATTTTCGGGATGACAAAACCACCACCATTTGTGTTTCTCACCAAAACTTCAGCGTGCGTGCATCCCACTGCCAGAAGCAGATGGTGCCGTCAGCTCCAGTGGAGGAGAGGTAGCGCTTTGAGCCGCAGCAGAGAGGGGAAAACTGCAAAGACAACCAATTAGGGGTTACAACTGAGTGTAATGGGCAGTCAGCATGAGATGCTAACACTGCAGCCAAAAAAAGAAAGGATAATTAACCCACATTAGCATACAACCTTAAAACACATAGCTGCACGGATACTAGGGCTGCTCGATTATGGCAAAAATCCTAATCACGATTATTTTTGGTCAATAATTGATATCACGATTATTAAATACAATTATTCATTGACTTTGAAAACATCAATTTATTGAACTTTAAAAAAAAATACAAATAATAATTTGAACAGTCTCTTTTTAACTGTTGATTACCCTGAATGTATAATTCAACTGAAAAACCAATACAAAAATAAATAAAATAAATGATACATTTATATTTACATTTAAATAAATAATATAAAAAATAATAAATACCAATAAACAAGATCAACAAATATTTTGGAGCGCACTTCCACACGCTACTAAACATATATAAATTAGATAAAATATGTTCCAGTGCACTGTCACAACCTAGCAAAGCAAAATAATCGGTTTTTTCGATTATGTTTTTTTCGTAATTGTGGGAGGCCAAAATCGTAATTGCGATCAAAATACGAATAATTGCACAGCCCTAACGGATACATAGAATATCAAAAGCAAAACTAAAAGCTCAATAGCAAATATTAAATTGATAGTAATCTTAGAAACAAATGAAGCAAATATTTATGTATTATTTTTATGATTCATGTTTTCAGCAGGAACAAAGAACACGAGGCTCTATGCCAAGGACAGAGCAGGGAAAGTGAAAACAAACAACATGAAATAACACCTGCATCATCCATAAACAATTGGAGCCATTATGCACATTCCTGTTTGTAAATGTGGATAATAGTCTGTCATGCCATCTTTTGCCCACACGTTAGAGACTTCTCTTTATATAAGACTCATTATCAGGTTCATACTGTATTTGAATGTTTTGCCTCTACTCTGACATGTTTGCATGTTTTAATGTTCAAAGAGCTCTTTATTGTTCTCATACTGCCTGTGCTGCAGCACCTCTTTCCACCCTCTGTCTGAAACCAGAGCCCAGTCTGCTCTGATTGGTTATCTGGCTGGCTCTGTTGTGATTGGTCAACCGCTTAGAGATGTCCCGCCACTTAGTCTGTCACATACAATGTGTTGGAGCGCTAGCCAATAGAAGCTTGAGTGTTACACAGTGATGTCATTATGTTACTGAAGTAAACAAATGAGTTCAATGGAGGCGTTTCAGTCAGGGGGGGAGAGTGTGAGTACACAGGGATTATAGCCTTTGCAAACCAGTTACATGCACAAAAACCTATATAACACACTACAGAAAAGGGATAACTCTAACAATCATAATAGGCAGGGGTGCACATAACTGGTACGCAGGTACGCATGCGCGGAACAAATCTGAATTGCGTAATGTCACTTGTGTCACTATGCGCCTTTGCGTACCTCAAGACAAAACACATATTTCGTCTACACGTGTTTCTTGTCAACACTCAATGGAGTAAATTATTAGACATGACAAAAACAACAAAGACATTAAGCAGCCACGTTGCCGTTTCGCTCCCTGCAAAAAATCTTCGGACTTTCTATGACTGATTGAACTGGGTGCTGGCCGAGCCGCGCAGGACATAACCGACGGACCTGTGAAGCTTCACAGGAGAAAGAGGCTTAGATCACCGGACAACAGAGTTGTTCATCGTGTGCACAGACAGGGCTGCTGTTAACGTCAGTGTGTACAACAGAATTGTGCCAAAACTCCGCCAACTGGCAGCGGTGGGAGACTCCCCTGTGCACATTCTGTGCCCCGC